CAAGCTTTTGCCCTTTTCCTTAGTAGATGAACTGAATATAATTGTCTATAAAAGCCCTTCACTTTCATGAATTTCTACCAGCTCAAAACCAACATATCCAACCAAACCATGGCTTCCTCCTCCACTCACTTCTTTCTTTCAAGGCATCTGGGTTGAATTGGTATGAGCAATCATGATCATCTTAACATTTAATAGTCAAGTTATTATAGGATTTATTATGAATAATGATGGTTAACGCTTAAAAGAGTTGTGTGATACGTGGGTTCAAAAGGGCCAAGCTTTTGCCCTTTTCCTTAGCAGATGAACTGAATATAATTGTTTATAAAAGCCCTTCACTTTCATGAATTTCTACAAGTTCAAAACCAATATATCCAAACAAACCATGGCTTCCTCCTCCACTCACTTCTTTGTTTCAAGCTTGGTTTTCTTGATGATCTCCTTCTTTCAACCATCCTCACATCAGCAACTGTGTCATAAGGATGAATATCTTGCTCTAATGCAATTCAAAGATAGCTTTGTCATTGAAAGGCAAGCATCTACTCGTCCTAAAGTCGATCTTTGGAAATCTCAAGGGATTGATTGCTGCTCATGGGAGGGCATATGGTGTGACCAAAACACTTCTCATGTCATACACCTTGATCTCAGTAGCAGTTGCCTTTTTGGTTCTATCAATTCCAGCAGCAGCCTCTTCCGCCTTGGACACCTTCAATACCTCAACCTGGCACTCAACGAATTCAATTTCTCTAAGATACCATCTGCAATGGGCAATCTTTCGAGGTTAACTTATCTCAATCTCTCTGGTTCTTTCTTTTCTGGTCAAATTCCACATGAAATTTCAAAACTCTCCAATTTAGCTAAGCTTGACCTTTCTTTCCATCTTGATCAATGACATCGAGGATTGTTGGAACTCAAAAGGTCTGGTTTGAAAAACCTAGCTCAAAACTCAACCAAGCTAGAATGGCTTGACCTCTCTTATGTTGGTATAAATTCTCCAATACCAAAGGCTTAGGCAAATATGTCGTCATTGACACATCTACACTTCCGTCAATGTGGATTGCATGGAAAGTTTCCCATAGACATTTTTCAACTACCTAAACTTCAAGTCCTTGATTTGGAGAACAATTGGGAACTTAGTGGTAGTTTTCCTGAATTTCACTCTCACAGTCAGCTTAGGGCACTCGATGTTGGAAACGCAATCTTTTCTGGTGAGTTACCTAGCTCAATAGGAATGTTTAGTTCTTTGGAATATTTAGATGTCAGTAGTTGTAACCTCTCAGGTTGGGTACCACCTTCAATTGGTAATCTCACCAAGCTCCATGTATTGAACCTCCCAAATAATTCTTTCAAGGGAGAAAACGCTCCTTTCTTCTCAAACCTCACTCAACTAACTCAAATAAATCTTAGATTAAATCAATTCACTTTTAGTGAGGTCCCTTCTTCTTTAGCTACCTTGACCCATCTCATGAAGATAGACCTTTATTATAATCATATTTCTGGCCATTTTCCATCTTGGATTACAAACCTAACAAATTTAAGACAATTGAATCTCGGGTCTAATATGTTATAGGGATCTCTTCCAAGCTCAATTTCCAGACTCAAGAACCTTGAAACACTCTTTGTTTACTACAACAACTTAAGTGGTATTGTTGAGTTTGACACATTTCTTGAACTCAAATCCCTTAATTCATTGGCTTTATCCAATAATAATTTCTCATTAGTAATCAAAACCCCCACCAATAAAACAATTCCAAAGTTTAAATTACTGAGTCTTGCTTCTTGTAATCTAAGAGAGTTTCCAGGCTTTTTGCTTAACCAGAGTGAATTGGATGTCCTCTGCCTTGCCTCCAACAACATCGATGGCTAGATACCTAGTTGGATATTGAATATGAGTGCAAGTTTGTTGGCTTTAGATCTTTCTTACAACAATTTCACAAGTTTTGAAGAATCCTTTCTTGTTTTTCCTTCTACTAGTCTTTTATTTCTAGACCTTAGTTTTAACTCTCTCAAAGGTTCTCTACCAATCCCACCACTCTCTATCCTTTTCTACTGGGTTTCTGGGAATATGTTTAGTGGAGAAATTCCACCTCAATTCTGCAACATGACTTCTCTTCAATTGCTTGATTTGTCTCAAAATAATCTGAGCGGAACAATGCTGCAATGTTTTGGCAACCTCAGCTCCATGTTGGTTTTAAACTTGGAAGGAAACAACTTCCATGGTCCTATTCCTGAAACATGGGAAAGTGGAAACAAACTCAAAGAAATTAAAATGGGAAAGAATAATTTGCAGGGGAGGTTACCAAGATCACTAAGAAACTGCAAAGTGTTGGAGTTTCTTGATCTTGGAAACAACAAGATCGAAGATACTTTCCCTTACTGGTTGGGAGCTCTTCCTGAATTGAGGATTCTCATTTTGCATTCAAATAGGTTCCATGGCACAATTTCAATCAAAGTACCAGAGATAGATTTCTTGTTTCCTAAGCTCCGCATCATTGACCTTTCAAACAATGGATTTGTTGGCACTTTGCCAATAGACCTCTTTGCGAGATGGAATGCCATGGCTGATCTTGATGAAGAGAACGCAACATATTTGCAAGTGTATAAGCACCATTTAATGATGAACTCTTTTATCCTTCCTTTTCAATTTCCTTACTCAATGACAATAACAAACAAAGGAGAGAAGCTGGAATATGCAAAGATCTTGGAGATTTTCAAAGCAATTGATTTTTCTTGCAACAAATTTGAGGGAGAGATTCCAGAACTAGTTGGGAACTTAAAGGGACTTCAACTGCTCAATCTTTCCAATAACATCCTTGATGGTCAAATCCCTCCTGCCTTGGGATATCTTACAAGTCTTGAAGCACTTGACCTTTCTCAAAACAAGCTCACAAGAAGAATTCCTACACAGTTGACGCAGCTCAATTTTCTTGAAGTCTTCAATGTGTCTCACAACCATTTGACAGGTCCTATCTCGAAAGGCCAACAGTTTGATACATTTGAAAACAACTCTTTTGATGGAAATTCAGGATTGTGTGGAATGCCACTGTCAAGGAAATGTGACTACTATAACTCTGAGAATTTGCCTCCACCATCTTCAACCTCCAAAGGAAATGAAGACTCTGGATTGTTAGCTCAATTTGGTTGGAAATTAGTGTTACTAGGTTATGGATGTGGATTCCTCATTGGTGTTGTCATTGGAAACATTGTTTTTACAAGAAAACGCGAATGGTTTATGAAGACATTCCGAATCTGGTAGCCAAGATGCAAAGGGAGGGGTGTGAAAGATTGAATAGGAGGAAGCAGTGAATATGATATCTATCCCCTATGCTATCACTTCATTGTTTATTTTTTTTTCTCCTACTTTTCTCTGTTTGTGATTACTAGTCAAGTTCAGTGCAAGTCCAGTGTAAAGTATAAAGTGGAATTTCAATCTTCATGAATAAGTACTTATGCTGCTACTTCAACAGCTGATATGGAATATTAATAATTTCCTTTTAGTAAATTCCTTGCTTTCCATAAAGTGAGAAACAGAGAAGAAAATTATATTCTAGCCAAAAAATGAAAAGAAAATTATATTTATTAATGTGAAAATTCAATTTATCATAAAAAAAAAGGTGCTATTTTTTGAGACACGTGATATTTTGGTTGCATATGATTTGTTGTAATTTTTGTTTAAATTGTACGTGCGACCATGGAATTATTACTTAAAAGAAATTCTGGGATGTTGACTTCCTAAATTACACAGTAAGAACAGAAGTATCTGGAAAATAACA